CCCCCATCCCGAGAAGTTTCTCAGTGGATGGCCCTCTCAGACTCGTTGGCACCAGTCGGCCCTACTGGCAGGCTGCAAAACGGTTGCCGGTAGGCGTCGGCGGTCGGTGGGTATGCAACCCTGGGCACGAGGCCTTTGCCATCATCCTATTGTAAGACCGCACCTATGCCTACCTGGTTGACATCCGTGGTTAGGACAAAAGGCAGGGCAGGATCAGCAATCTTGAGGACCGCATATGCTCAAGATCCGCGTATCTTGCTGTGCTCTAGCATGTCAAGCTCCCATACATGCACCTGGCAAACAACTCAAATTGCTCATATCATCCAATCAACTCAAACAAGCACCCCTCACTCGCCAAGAACAATAAAAATAAAGAGCATAGTCAACTCCTCCACTCCTCCCTTCCATGCCCTCCCCACAATTATTTTCATAGTTCAGAAGTGTCTATGGTTCATCACCACCCCAATTATCAACAACCATGAGACTGCCTCAAAGAACAACGTCAAAGTCTCTTTTCACCTCTCTTCTTCTTCACCAGCCTACACCTGATGTCTAAAGGTGTGGCAGCCGCCTACTGACTTCCTCTGGCCTAAGGGGGGTGCTGGCCCTACTCCAACTACCTCAGTCCAGTACCCGTAGCCAGAGCCAGTGCAAGCGTATGAGACTCTCTCTAGGTAGTCAGGGGAGAGTCAAGGTGTGACTTCCGTCACTTAGTATTTAAGCAGTCTGGCAGAATCCACAGAAGTGTCCCTTGTCTCAACTGACTGGACATACATATTTCACAGCCAGCCAGTCAGCTGGACTCTCAGCCCGGCATGTTCTAGGAACTGGGCCCACATAGAACTTTCCGTAAGGCTGGTACCACCATATCTATCCACTTTCCAGGCCAGGTACACAAGTACAGGAAAGGACTGGCACCCTGCATTATTTCTAGGCCTACCGAAAGTTGGTCAATAATTTTAAGCAAAGAATTCATAAACCTGTCCAAGTAGCAGAGATTGAAGTCCTTGGGGCCAATTGAAAGAACAACCAGGAACAAACAAATAATTTTCACAGTAACAAGAGGAAAATTGAAACCACACAGAGAACTGCAAAACTTACAGTTCTGGAACAACTCGCTATTTGCTGCAAAACCATGGGCTCTTACATCCAGTTCCAGTTCAGTTCTCTTACACTTTCCAGGTTCTATAGCCCTATGACGCTTCCCTAGTTTCACTGCCACTTTGTTTTGTTTCCTCTCCACTGTCTCCACTTCAGCCTGTTTGATATTTTTTTTCTGTACGCCATTGCTTCATCCACAGGTAGCCAGGGCGAGTAATTGAGTGTAAACATGCAATGATTGGTGTGTGTGACTCCTGGGCAAGGGGAAGGGTTTCTTATCCACTGTAGTCTGTTTGATATATCTATTTCCGACCATCGTTGCATCATCCACTAGTAGCCAGGGCGAGTAATTGAGTGTAAACATGCAATGATTGGTGTGACACCAGGAGGGCAAGGAGGAGAGTTTCTTACCCACCCATGATCCCATTCATCGGTGTGCGAAGCTCGTGTGACATGGTACCCATGAAAGTGTCCTTTGCCTTGTTGGCCACTTCCAGTGCTAAGTTGGCTTTCTCAATGCCCTCTTTTCGCTGCTTCATGACATCCAGTCGCTTGTTGGCAACATCCATTCGGTTGCTCAGGAGCATGAAAATGCTGACACAGATGACGGCACCGCCTACCACAGATGCCCAGATGATCGCTTCCCTTTGGACGTCTATCTTAACAGCATATCGGCATCGCAATTCATGGCGACGAAAACGATTCAAATGAACTGCTCCACTGTAGTCGTATTTTTCAGGTGTATCGCTGTACGGCGGCTGAGTTTCGTATATGAGTTTAGCGGCATTACGATCTGTGACATCATACAGTCGGGCAATAACCTGGGATGCTGGGTTGGCATCTTTCAGGTAATAACTGATAATCGTCGTGATTTTCATCCGCGCAGAAAGAATACCATAGCATGTCTTATTCGTGTCCGAGGTCTGGGAACCTGGATCTTCATCCTTGTACACAGGATAGGCAATTGACACCTGATACCCGTTGTTTGCAATATCTGGAAAAGGCCCTGACATGGCCTCTTCTCCATGTAGGTAAGCTAGCCTGTAGATCACTGTCGCCTGTGGAACTGCAGGTCATCAGTGAAAACCAAAAAACTGCGAGGTGAATGAAATCACGACTTATTATCTCTCCTGTTCATGTGCCACATTCGCATTCCTTAGTTCGTCAGACAGGCTGCCACCCTTGAATGTCAATTCAATTATGACTTATTTTCTTTCCTGTCCATGAGCCACATTTCCGTTCGTAAGTTCGTCAGACACGATGCCACCCGTGAACGTCAATGCTAAAGGAGTATCCAGAGGGGAAGCACCCTTGAGCCCATCACTTGCCACAATGGCCAAGCAACTTCCTTTTGCAGCACGATAGAGACGACGGAAACAGACAGTAACAAGCAGAAAGGGAGGAAGGTAGGCAAGCAGGTGCCTGGGCAGGGAGCTGCAGAGGTGAACAGGGACAAAAATGTGGGCGAGTGCACATACTGGTGGGTGAGTGTGTGGACTGCACGTAGCTTGTCAGCTAAATAGATGTATGCACAGACAGAGTGACAGCAACAGGCACACCGAGATTCTGACAGTGATCTCCCTAAATTGACCCTTTTACAGGCTCGGAGCCTGTGAAGCATTTCCCATGCCAGTAATGTCTTACGATCCCGGTCATTCCCAAAGTGCAAATTCACAATGAAAGACAATGCCACCCAATTGCGAAAGAAATGAAAGCACTTGCAAAGAGATAGAGACCAAAGAAGAGAGAGAGAGAGAAGAAGAAGAAGAAGAAGAAGAAGAAGAAGATGTACATCAGCAAGACCAATGAAAAATCCCCCTTCTCTCTCCACCTTCCTCCTCCTACTTCACTTCGCCAATCTTATTCTTCTTCCAATAATAATAATAACAATGAGTGGATGAACCAGAATCAATGTCCGAAGTTCCCTCTTACTGCTGACACGACAACAGGTCCACCATAGCCATGGCTTCCCCCTTATTCCTCCTCTCACAGGCCTAGGCTATGGCGGACTGCTAAGGGCTCTGCCCTCCTGTGCAAAGGACAACGCAAAGCAGCTATGTCGCTGCACTCCTGTCCAAAGGTCAACACAAAGCAGCTATGCCGCTGCTCCCTAAGCCGCCATGCCTGACTCTGCCTCGAGCTTCCTTGGTGGGGCACTACCCCAACTGGGGCCTTCCAGATGCAGCGCCCAACAAGGTGATGAAGATGGTGTCCACCATAGCCAGGTAGGTACCTCGCCACTCTCCTCCTTCGCCCCCTTCTTCCTCCTCCTCAGGCTGGGCTGCTCGCCATAGCCAGGTTGAGCGCCCAGCTGCTCCTCTCCTCCAGGCAGTGCTTCCCAAGTTCAGCGCTTGGCTCCAGCAGCATGTCGCCAATCCTTGCATACCGCAAATAAGGAGGAGCTGCTTGCTCCTCCTGAAGATATTCTCGGGCGGTGACTTCCTAGGCCGAGCGGCCTCCCAGCAACCTGTACCTCCTCCCTTTCGGAGGGAAACATCATTGCAGGCTCTCGCTATCGTCCGGACAGGCCCTAGACGCAGGCTACTTGGACTGGTACCGGCCTACCTCTAACCTACCGCTACTGGGCCTCTAAAAATGGCAACTTTGTCTTCTTCTGCTCGGCCTCCAGTACCCGACACTTCTACCACTACTTGAGTGGTACCGGCCTACCTGCTACTTGAGTGTTTTTCCCGCTGTTCTGAGTGTCGCGGGCCTACCCCCGCTATTTGAGTGTTTTCCCCTGCTGCAACCCTCAAAGTCACGGCCACAGGTAAGTACCGGCCCTGCGGGGCCTTTCAACCAACAAGTACCCTTGCGGGTCACACACACACACACACTCATCCCGACAAGCACTCAGACAGGCACGCGGACCAGCAGGCACACACACACACACACACACACACACACACACACACACACACACACACACTTAGAAATCACAGCAGAATGCAGGAATCTCAGCAAGGCATACATTCCAGCGGCAAATCCTAGAAACCAGCAGTGTTCTCAGTCTGTGTTTTGGCGGGCCAATACAAATGCCAGAACTTGCCCTGAACACTTTTTGAGCATGCCAAATGAGACTTGGAGAGTTGGAGCTCAGTTGGAACACCCACAAACTGTTGAAATATAGACAAGTTCGAATCCAGATACAATCAGATGCCCAGAATAACATAAATTCTTCAATTACCTGGGGCCTGTCTGCTTCAATGATGATACCTCAAGGCAGACGCCCTTTATAAAAAAAGAAAGAGGAGGAAAAAAGAGACTTGGTGGGAATTGACAAGGACTATGAAGCTTGCTGTCCAGTAATGTGCATCCATCCAGTTGATGATGCGTCAATTACACAGCTGCTGCAGCGCCGAACCCATATCAACCACATGCTCGAATTGTGCCAGACTGGCATACAAAACAGCCTGGTCCAAATACAGACGAGGCTCTCAAGTTACCAAGAGCACAAGTTGGAGTTCATTACAGTGTGACCTCTTTCCTCTTTCATCCTTTCCGAGCTGATGCCTTTTGTCCATAACCTCGGAGTCCATAAATGTATGCGCGGCAAGCTGTTGGCTTCACTTGAGATTTTCTTTGTATGGAACCTGTTCCACACTATGCAGGCTGGTCTGAGTGAGGGTCCTGAGGGAAAGGGAAGGGGGGAGTTGTAAGGGGTTGCATTACGCTTGACAAGCATGGCATGGAGGAGGGGCCATTGCCAACGGGCGTTGAATTATGCCTTTACAACATTGCTTCATTCAGAGCCATTGTCAACGGGCGTTGAATTATGCCTTTACAACATTGCTTCATTCAGAAGGGCCACAGAGAGCCCATGGATGACAACAGAGAAATCCGAGGAGAGTGGAGAGCGGGTGATACGAGAGAGCAGTCCTTGGTGAAGAAATATGGATCTGAAGTGATGACGAGTTCAGGAAACCACCCTGAACAAAAGGAACGTTACAGGCTGAACAGATCAACAAACAGGAACAACAACTAAGACTACATCACATCACAAGCTGTATTGTGTGTATGTAGCAATTGGTCAGAAGCGTTCGACCGTAGCACAATTAGTGAAAATTCTTTCAGAAGCGGGTGCTTTAGAATATTCTATTAATTATTGTGGCAGCCACTGCATCAGATCCTGCTCCTCTTCAATTTCTTGCTCCTTATGCAGGTTGTGCTATGGGAGAATTTTTCCCAGACAGGCCAGTTACAGTTACAGTGGAATCAGCCGCAGGATAGAGCTAGCCTGTGCAAATATTTGACACACAGTCTCAAGCCGGACTCTAAGCCAATTACACCTTGGCTGGAAACCAAGCAGCAGAGAGTTGGGCTTCTTGTTCCTGGATCGACCGTCAGATCTTGTTCCTGGATCGACCGTCAGAGATACCACCGGGGACTGGAGAGAGTTCGCACGGTCCGCAGTTTGTGCTGCAGAACGCTGTCGACCACTTGCAGAAATTCCAAAAGGCTATAGTCAAACTAGAAAATGAGCATAGAGGAATGCCTATGTCAAGTTGGCGTTATGAGCATAGAGAGGAATGCCTATGTAAAGTTGGCGGTCGTGTTTGGGTCAAGTCATCAGAATTCAGACCGTCGTTGTACTCTGTTCACCCACACTGTTCACATATCGCATGGCCCACCCACATTGCCCCCCCGCCTTTTTCACCACCCAACACCGTCGTGTTTGGCTCAAGTCACTATCGTAGAAGGAGGTCAAGGAGAATCTGAAACCAACACACAAGAACTAACACAGGTTGTATACTTATACATATTTCATAATGATTCCTATTTCGTTGTGTTCACAGTTTGCTGGCAACACTGCATATGCTGTCTCATCGTTATCACTCCTTGCCGACCTACCCGATATCACCATTGAGCAAGGGCGGTGAAAGCGTAGGACTACCCTGAAAGACATAACACAGGGTCGATTTGACAAAAAAGAGCTCGATACAAAAGCCAGCGTCCAGCTATTTGCACTCCAACCAGGTAAACAAACAACAAAAAAAAAGACAAAGAAAGAGAGACCAAGCCTCTCTCTCTCTCTCTCTCTCTCTCTCTCTCTCTCTCTCTCTCTCTCTCTCTCTCTCTCTCTCTCTCTCTCTCTCTCTCTCTC